AATCAGGGTTAACATGGTCCAGGCATGTTTTACGATAATGTCCTGTAAGAATCTCATCTGGAATGTATTCCACTGTCAGTCAAGGAGTAGTATACTAAGCAAACAGGGACCTTAATAGAGTTGCTAGGACCCTTGGAATCACATCTCTTCTGGATCTTTGCAGCAATACAGTGCCATGGTAGCACTGAAATTAGCTTGAAGTGGGTGTGTGGTTTTGTAAAGGCTTATTAGGGTCACATCGTTGCTTTGCTTAGCCTCACTTTAAGGTGGATCAAGATGGGTAGCTGTGCTAGTCTGTCTGTAGCAACAGAAAAGAGCAAGAATCCAGTAACAAGTTAGACTAACAAAACATGTGGCAGGGTGCAAGTCACTGCTCATTTTAAGGTGAACTGTCAATTTCTTAAGGTGAACTGTCAATTTCTTAAGGTGAACTGTCAATTTCCTACTATTTGTCAGGCTGAGAATGACATCATCTCCACTATACAAACAACATTTTCCAGTTCTGTATAAGACAGAATATCTTTAAGTTTTTTAGTTCAGGAATGTAGTCTGGGATTCTGCCAAGTTGTTTGCTCCTACACCATGGTGGTAAAACCTTTGCATAACATAACTTCCAGCTCCTCTTCTTACTTATCTCAGATTTTCAGATTCTGCAGTTTATTTTGTTTAATTAATATGTGAAAATACCTTCATGTGCAACCAAAGAACAGTACACATGATTGTACTCTAAGTTCAGTTCAGTTCAGTCACCTTTAATGGCATAATGGGAACAGTAAAACATGTATCATAACAATTCCAACACACTAAAATATAGTAAAAACAATTAAAATACATACAATTCAATTTAAAAGCCTGCATTTGATTTTAATCACTTCAGCTACAAAACTTAGCAACCAAAGCTGTAATTTCAGGGTTGGTGTTGTTTAAGAGATATTGGATAATTCTGTCTTTATTAACATTAGAATTAAAGATCAATAACAGCGGCAAAAGTTCCTTGCCAAGTGGCTGTATGAAATTGGCAGTCTAAACTGATACGTTGAATTGAGTCAGGAGAATTTAAGGAACAATTACACAACCTTTCAGGAAAGGAGATTTTTTTTTTTGAGGGGAGGACATTTAATGAGGCCTAGTGTAAATGTTCTACAATGTAAAGGAACATCAAGGTTGTGAAGGTACTTAGCCATTTGGTTATGTTGTGTTACAAGATTCAAAAAAGCCCGAGATGAAGAATGAGGATGTGGAGGACACCGTTTTTGAATTTCTAAATCAGTCTTTGTTTAGTTATCAGAAAGATAGCAGTTTCTTCCAACAAAAGAAAAAAAAATGAATAGAAAAACCTAATTGGTGAATTTTCTTTTCAGTGCCTAAAAATCAATTAGCACTGTGTGGATCAGTTTCTAATGTGCGACTGAACAACAACAATGACCAAATTTTAGTTTCAATGAGGTCCTGACCTAGTTCGATGCATAATGCCAAATTAGGTATGCATCTGAGAATAACTAGGAGTTGTATGAAAAAGACTTGCTTGGATACTTAAGTTATCTTACAGCATTTCCCACTCTATCCTGGTAAATTTATAAGTTGTTTGTACTTTTTAGAAATACATTGCCATTGGTTTTGGATGGTAGCTTTTTAATATTTTTCATCCAATTTTGGATGAACATTTCAGAGTTCATACCATTGACTACAGCCTTATTATTTGTGTCTGTACTGCACTGTGATATGGAAGGCTATAAGCAATTGTGGGTATTCAATTTAACTTAACATGTTGAAAACATGGACTTTTCCATTTTGTTGTTCAGTCGCACAGTCGAGTCCGAGTCTTCGCGACCCCATGGACCAGATCACGCCAGGCCTTCCTGTCTTCCGCCATCCTCTGAAGTTTGCTCAATTTCATGTTCGTTGCATCTATGACACTGTCTAACCATCTCATCCTTTGCCGTCCCCATCTTCTTTGACCTTCAATCTTTCCCAGCATCAGGGTCTTCTCCAGTGAGTGCTCCCTTCTCATTTGGTGGCTAAAGTATTTGAGCTTCAGCTTCAGTATCTGGCCTTCCAGGGAACAGTCAGGGTTGATTTCTTTTAGGATTGACTGATTTGATCTTCTTGCAGTCCAAGGGACTCTCAAGAGTCTTCTCCATAGGCATTCCTAACGTCCCCAGGCTTTTTATTGCTAAAAAGCTCTTGTCTTAAAAAACTCATTTAAAAGAAAAAATGTCATAGGTGTTTTTTCAATGCCTCCCAACTTGTCCCCGTTTTTCCACTGGAACTACTGACTGCTATACATTTTGAATGAATAAAACCCAGAGTTCGAAAGCATTTAACTAATCCAGAATGACAAAAAAAAATTGTTGGGAGGGGTCCCCTCCACTGTTCCCTAAAATTTCCTTTGGAAAAACTGAGGAAAAGGCCTCTGTCAGGTTCAGTATGCATTTTATAGTTCGCCTGCCATAGAGGAAGGAGGAGGGGGAGAGGGGTGTGAAAACCAAATATTTTCATTTTCCTAAATGCTTTGATGTTCCAGACACTGTGTTGCAGAGACCTGTTGTTTTGCTTTATTTCTGTAGAGGGGTACGTGCTTGGTGGTGGTGGGGTAGTTGATAATTATTTCTGGCAGGCAAATGCAGTGGGTTGATTGGGTCCTGACCTTTAGTGCCTTTGTTTGAACACAATATATTTGCAATCTCCGCACTTTCACTTTCCTACCAAAGCTCGTGTTCAGTATGGTATTCCTCAGTGTCTCAATAAACTAAAATTGCTTCGAGGTGAGTGGTGTTGAGAACTGATTTAACCAGGATTCTGACAGCCTCAGACTTTTATGCTATGCAGATTTTGTCTTTAATAGCAACACATTCATTTAAGGAAAAAATATTTCCATATTTTTTCCAGCTTTTTTCAGTGTTCCTCAGAAAAAATATTCTTGATTTCCCCCACATTTTCTTCCTAGACTTTCACATCTCTGGTCTTTAGTCTGCCCCTCCCTGCAGCATCTGCATTCCTAGTATGGCAAGAAAAATATTTGTGTCCTCTGCAGGCAGGCAGATAGGCATGTATAGCCCCATAGCAGAGAATGAAATAGGGAGCAAAGACGTTAACCACTGCTTATATACTCAAGAAAAGCCAAGATACTGGGCCAATTGAATGACTGGCTTCAAATAGAAGTGAGATACGCAGAGCTACCCATTAGGATGATCCTTTCTGGCAGAAGCTTATGCTAAATTTCCTGGCTGGAAAATGCCCCTATCAGATATAACAATGGAGATTCATGAATGGCGCTCCAAGTATATATTTCTTTAAATAGCAGGTGACATGGTCTGTGGCACAAATAGCACTTTCATTGGATGATTTTAGGTTGAGAAATGAAGTTGGAGAACATTCAGGGGTCTTTTGGAGCCGGAGCGTATCGAAGCGCTGCTCTGGGAGCCCAGGCGCCGGAACAAATGGTGGTGGCAGCAAGCCCCGCTCCCAGCTCCCTGCGCTGTGGCCCCCTGCCGCCTCCCCGGGCCAGCGCCAGAGCACTGCGGCCTGTGGGAGGGCAGAAGAGGCCCACCACCACCTCCCTGGCCCAGTGCCGGAGTGCTGCAGCCTGTGGGAGGGCAGAAGAGCCCCCCCCGCCTCCCGGGGTAAGTGAGGGATCCGCGGAGAGGTGTGATAGATGTTTGAAAGGGCGCTGTCCCATTTGCCTCCTCCCCTGGACCAAGCCATGGCCTTCTGCCCCCATCAAAAAATAGCATAAGTAGAAGACGTCCCCCCTCCCATACTTACAAAGCC